GGGTTCTTCCGGACCTCTGGGTCACTCTCAGCCGCTGTCATGTTCTGGTTTGGGTTCTTCCGGACCTCTGGGTCACTCTCAGACGCTGACATGTTTTTTTTTCTGTGTTGCAGTGAGAAGGAACAGTTTGGGGAGCGACGTCCTGTTTCTGGGAAAGTCTCATCCTCTCTTTGACTTCATCCATGAGCTGTACCGCACAGAAACCCGTGAGGTAACAGACTGCGTCACCTTTAGCCTCCATAGCTTCATCACGCTGTTATCTGGAGAACATGGACGCTCCATCATTGAATGAGCCCAGCGGCTGCAGGGATGCTGCTGAATCAGAAGCTTCACTACATTCTGTGTTTAGATTTCTAGGCTGTAGGGTATCGATGCAGCTGTGTGTTTATGAGCACCGAGGAGCTTTTCCAGGTCATCCAAACTAACTGTAGTTTGCTCTCTTCTAGGGGACCGTGGTCCCTGCTGAGCTCTGCCACGGGATCCAAGGAACTCTGACCCTCGACGAGGATCCGATCCTCCCAGACGAGTAAGAACCCTCTGCTTCATCTGGCTTTCTCTCTCTATTCCTGTCATAATCTGACCCTTAATCTGGTTTCTGCTCCTCAGGACGGTGAAGTCGCCCATCCCGATGCTGCGGGACATTTCACACAACAGCTCCATCAAGTGAGTGAACCTTTGAAGACACCTGGAGCTGCTTTTTCCCTGCTGTTAGTGGACTGAAGAAAAACTAAAACAATGTGAAACAGCTGGACTGCGCTGCTGTCAGCATATATTCAGTACAACTAGAGTAGAACGTAGGATAATCCCGCACATCCTGGACATGTTGAGGTGTTTTTACCTTACGGGCGGCGCTGCAGAGCCTCTTCATGGAGGATGTAGAAAATGTTTGGTTTTTCTCCTCCTGAACGGCGTCTGTTTGTCCTTCCAGTGTGAAGTTCAAGGATCCTCAGTTCACTGAAGGCTTCGTCTTCAAAGCGGTGCTGCTGCCTGGAGCCAAGTAAGAACACGACCTCCGTTTGAATGTTTGAGAATCGGGTTCAACGGGTTCTGTTGGATTTATTTCTTCTTTTTTTTTGTCTCAAAATGTTTGGGAATTAGTTTTTTTTCTGCTCGATTTTATCAAACCTTTCACTTTAATTTGGTTCTACAGTTCTGACCCTCTCATTATAAATGGACCGCTCCATTCTGGACATTCCAGGGTCCAGTTCTTCGCAGCTGTTTTTTGTTTTTAATGCTTCATGACTTCAGTTTAAACATTTTGATTCATTTATCGGTTAATCCAGCCGTTCCCAGGATATGAATGTCTGAGTTGAACTCTTGTTTTCCAGGATGCCCAATAAGGTGCTGAAACCAGAGGACTTTGAGCGGGGGAACCGGGGCTCCTGGAGACCCCAGCTGGGCTTCAACCCCAACAGACAGCAAGCTCACCTGGACCAGTCAGGCTTCAGAGCTCTGAGGTGAGTCACAGATTGTTCCTCACTTGGACGACCTTCAGTACAGAAGAACCTGCATGTGAGGCTCTAAAGGTCTGTTGGGTCGGACGCCGGAGGGACGCCTAGCTCCTTTCCAGCAGAGATCTTCGTATAGATCAACACTTTACTGCACCCAGCAGCAGCTCAGAAAAAGGCCAGAAACCTTCATTCAGCCTTGAATCTCCTCACTTCCTCTCATAAAAAAAGAAAATTTTCTCAGATTTTAACCTAGAACATCTTTTTCAGAAAGTGAAAAAAAAATCCATTAAAGTAGGACCACCATCTCCAATAACCATTTAGACTAGAATAAAATTAAAGATATATATATAAGGATTTTTAGTAGTTTCTCTTTGGTCCCACAGATTTGAACAATTTCCTGCATTAATAGCAGCATCAATCTATAGAAAAAACCTATTTCTAAGATTTAAAGAAAGCAGAGCAGTCAGAATGCTACGACCGAGTATTAGGGCCAGGTTAGAGATTTGTTTTGAATGAAGTCGCAACACTGCGAGAATGAAGTCGCAACACTGCGAGAATGAAGTCGCAACACTGCGAGAATGAAGTCGCAACACTGCGAGAATGAAGTCGCAACACTGCGAGAAGCGAGAATGAAGTCGTAACACTGCGAGAATGACGTCATCATACAACAACCCTTTTCAGAAAGAAAACTTGGAGCTCCGCCCAGCAGATGACGGCCGAGCAGCTCCACCAATCAGCAACCAGAGTCCACTTTGACCTCCTGCCCAGTTTGATGCTGCTGCTAAAATATTTCCTGATTTGCCAAACCGATGCTAAAGTATAACTTCACATGATGCTCCACATTCCTCATTTTAGGGAAGAAAGGGCTTTTTGTAGGTGTCATAAAATACAACTTTATTCTCGTAATATTGCGACTTTATTCTCATAGTATTGTGACTTTAATCTCGTAATATTGCGACTTTATTCTCGTAGTATTGCGACTTTAGTCTCCTAATATTGCGACTTTATTCTCATAGTATTGCAACTTTAATCTCGTAATATTGCAACTTTATTCTCGTAATATTGCGACTTTAATCTTGTAATATTGCGAATTTATACTTGTAGTATTGCGACTTTATTCTCGTAGTATTGCCACTTTAATCTCGTAGTATTGCGACTTTAATCTTGTAATATTGCAACTTAATTCTCGTAGTATTGCGACTTTAATCTCCTAATATTGCGACTTTATTCTCGTAGTATTGCGACTTTATTCTCGTATTATTGCGACTTTAAACTAGTAATATTGCAACCTATTCTCGTAATATTGCGACTTTAATCTCGTAGTATTGCGACTTTAATCTCGTAGTATTGCAACATTATTCTCGTAGTATTGCGACATTATTCTCGTAGTTTTGCGACTTTATTCTCGTAATATTGGACTTTAATCTCGTAATATTGCCACTTTAATCTCGTAGTATTGCAATTTTATTCTCGTAGTATTGCAACTTTATTCTCGTAGTATTGCGACATTATTCTCGTAGTATTGCGACATTATTCTCGTAGTTTTGCGACTTTATTCTCGTAATATTGGACTTTATTCTCGTAATATTGGACTTTAATCTCGTAGTATTGCAATTTTATTCTTGTAGTATTGCAACTTTATTCTCGTAGTATTGCCACTTTAATCTCGTAATATTGCGACTTTA